AAGAGAGATTTTATATTAAAATACTCAAAACAGATAAAAGGATAAACAGATTTTAGACTGGAATATGTAGAAATGAACATAGATGAGGTCTTTTTTTGACAGTCTGCTGCCCTGTTTTGTCCTGAACTAGTGCACATGACTGACCGTCTCTTTCTTTTTTTCTTCAGGTCTCCCCAGGCCTCCGTCCTCCATGCCTGCTCCCCCAGGCTTTACTCGACTGGAGCAGAATGAGCCCATGAACACCCTGCGTATCTCTGTCGGAGGCCTCCCGATGTTGGCTTCTATGGCCAACACCACTGACCCACGTTTCCGCCTTAAATGGAGGCCCATCGTGGCGGTGGCCGGCTCCCTGGCCCTGCTTCTTCTGCTCTTCATGCACTTAAACTCGAGCCTGGGCCCCCGCTCTTATGACTCGCACGGCTGGAGGGGCAGTCACAGTGACACCCAGCAGTCCGATTCCAGTTACAACGACACCTACCCTCTCAGTCCGCCTGAGCACACGCTGCAGGGCACCCGCTACCGCATTGGGGTCATCGCCGACCTGGACACGGACTCTCGTAGTGACAAGAAGCTGACGTGGTTCAGCTACATGCGGCGGGGGCACCTGTTGGTGTCCCAAAGTGGCGACAAGATAGCAGTTGAATGGGATGCAGACAGGGTGGTGCTGGAAAGCCACCTGTCGGAGAAGGGCAGGGGAATGGAGCTGTCTGACCTGGTGGCGTTCAACGGGAAGCTCTACAGTGTCGATGACAGGACGGGCGTCGTCTACCACATTGACGGTGACAAGATTGTGCCTTGGGTCATCCTACCTGATGGCGATGGCAGCGTTGCCAAAGGTTGGCATTACACTCCACTCATACTGTAATACATTATTGTACTTGATTATTTCCATTTTCCCACTGCGTTTTTTGACAGCTTTTTTTACTCGTAATTTTTTTTAGTTTTAAAGGGAAACTTTAATGTTTCACAACCGGGGCAATATCGCACCGTCAGTATACGTACGCTTGATCCGGTCTGTTTGTTGTCATGTGTAGCCAAGTCTTGCTCAAGGAGAAGTCTTGTTCTGAAGTCTTTGAGAGCTGACTTGTTGCAATATTTGTTGTTGTCCAAGAGTTGGAGGGAGGAGCGCCAGAAAGAGTTGACTGACTGTTTTGCTGTTTTCGACAACATGGAGAAGTCTGCGAGATTTCAGAATGAGTCTTCTCGTTGACCGAGACAATGACAAACAGACCAAATCAAGCAAAAGATAAAAAAAAAAAAAACGCTTTAATTTCTCCATAGAGTCCTTCCCATAATGTCAGACATTTCTACTAACAACCTGAGCCTATCAGTGGCAAAAACAAGCACTTTTAGTGGACGCGCTTTGACGGTGCGTTAACCTCCTGAGACCCTGTGTCCTCATATGAGGACATCATATTTTGGGTTTACTTGACCATACACTTCATTCTACTTAACTTAGACCTGTTGTCCTCCTTCGTGGACACTTTTTTATGCCATCTAGTGGTAGTAAGACCACAATACATTAATCCATGTAAAAACAAGATAGCAGCCATCTCTGCCAAGTCAGTCTGCACCTGATCCCAACACAAAAAGGGACAAGGTCCAAAACCTGACCAAATTTCATGGTGAAAACTTTTTTATTTATGATTAATAATGTTTGTAGTTTGATACGGCAACAAATGTGACCAATTTTAGCAACAGTATCAAGATAAGACGCTGTTAATTAGGAAGTACTTGTTTCAAAACATGGGGACTGTATTATCGTCTCATTTGAGGACATTGGGACTTAATTATCATTGACAATGTTTAGTTTTTTATACTCATTGGGTCCTACTGATCCCAAATAGCAAGGAGAAACTAAAAATGCATGGCAAACAAAAGTTAGGGTCCCAGGAGGATATGGCCCCAAAGGGTTATATTGCAGCCTTTTTTCTGGCGATGAGCTGCAGCCATCTCTCAATACTAGAACAATTTCAAAATAGTTGTCTCCGTTCGTCACTTATATATATGTA